CATATTATAAAAAAATGATGATTATTTTTCTCTTAGTGAAACAAATTTTTCTGAGTTCAATAATACAAATAACATTGAACTGGAGGTTTTAAATTATATTAAAGAAAGTCGAGATACATTATAAATGCTTAAATTATCCTTTCTTAAAGAAATTTTTTATAAATATAATTCAGCTCATTGAAAGATAATTTAGTTTTGGCACAATGTTAAGTAGGCTAAAAGGCAATCTAATGATAAATTATTTGAAAAATTTGATTATCTTATAAAATAATGAATATATTTTAAATAATCTTTTGCAAATTAATATTTCAACTCCCATTATAAATACCAGTCTCCCTTCCCTATCTTATGTAATAATGGGCTATTTATTACTAATATTAAAATGCCTGATTATTATAATTAACTCATCATTAAATATTTTATTAATTATTGTAAATATTCATTCATATTATATGCGTATATTATGTAATTCACAAATAAATAATAAAAATTGTAATTTATAAACTATTAATTGATAGTGATAATTTTAAAGTATCTTGTATTTAAGATACTCTAATTATGTAAAAGACAAAAAGTATCTGTATCTAAGATTCCTTTTTTAACAAAGAATCTGTATCTAGATTCTTTTTTTGGAGGACCTGCCCAACTCTTGTTTTTAAAGATTTACTTACCCCTGGCTTGGGAAAAAATTATCTCCTATGGGAATAATTTTTCAAAATTATTATGTCACAAAAATATGGCAATATACGGCAAAATTTAAAAAATATCAGCTAATTAATTCAATTCAATATGGTAATAAATGAGAAAATTTTAAAAATATCAGTTAATAATTAAAAATATATTTATTTTGATGTTTAATATTTATTTATTTTTAATCTATCTTTCATTTATTTATATATAAATCATCAAAAATATATAATTAGTATAATAAGTAAACAATTACGAAAAAAAAAATCATAATAACAAAAGGACAATATTGAGGCATAAGCGAAAGCAGCAGAAATTATTCAAAACCTCCTTCATCTAATCATCAGGAGGGATCGAATTAATAAAACAAACATAATTAGCCTTAAGAATGGCTATTGCGATCCTCTGCCTTAAGTAAAAACCTTCGCGAGGCATCCCAGAATTTTTTCTGATTAGGCGCCAACGTCTTTAAAAATTTTTTTAGCCAAATCACCATTAAGGTGGAGCAAATGATGGGTATGAATATGTAATTTGAGGAATCAGCGCTGTATTTGCTGATCTTAAAATTTTGAGCTCTGTTCAGAGCGTCCTTGTTAAAATTAGAGGGGAAGTTAGTGTCCAGACAAGAGAAATCCCATATTAAAAACTTTCCTTGAGACCATGGAATACGTGTGACCCCATCAGGACGCCTACTATCGGAAAATAAGCCAGAAGGCTCTATTTAGGTAGGAAAACCAGCTGACCTAAGTGCAAGAGATATAATTTGATTGCATTTCTAATGTCGAGTTTGCCGGCCGGGATTACGATTGCAATGTAAAGGATGAAGCGCCATATTGTCATCAACAGTATGACATTTGCTGCATTTATATGATAATGAAAAGGGAATGTTGAGCCTGATACATAAAGCATAACTGAGCTCATGGTTGTCCAATTCGAGTTTGAGATTGGTAGATGGAATAACATCTAAAAATTCATATCCCCGATCTTTGATAAGTTCAATAAATAAGGATTTAGCCAATGGTAAGAGACTCGAAATAAGGTAATCAACGGAGTTTTTCACAAGTGGTAAATCCCAATCCTTCTGCTTCACAGAGATCGGAAATAGGGTTGAGGTTGTGACGGATTTTGCCCATTCTATCTTAGCTGTATTCAAAAAAGGATCGTGAACCGACAGATGTCGGTCAATTAATATACGTGGCTGAAGGTGGCTGGCAATGAAGGCACATATTGAGATCGACAATGGGGATCTTATACCAAGGCCGCCATGTTTGGAAGGAAGTATGGCTTGATGCCAAGCTATGTCTGTAAATTTGAAATTTAAGCAGTCGCTAAGGATGACTTTTATTCTGGTATATATAATACTAGCTGATAGCCCGTCAAGTATGACGGGTAATCAGAATTTTCTCAATATGGATAAATAATAAATTTTACCTTCATTTGACGATGGATGAATCAGAATAAAGTCAAATGAGAGGAATAGATTATCCATATTCATCCTTCCAAGATTTCTATAAATTTTTAGAGAAAGGGCCAAATATATTATGAAAAATATGTAATAAAAAAAATAGGATTTGTGAGTTATGATATTTATCAATTCTTTTAAGAAATTTTTCACATCCAGACGCAATGGTTTTTGCTCTCTCACTTCGTTTAAAATCTACATTCTTCTCTAAAAATCATTTAAATGCATTTAAAACCTTCCTAAATACTCTTTTAAAAAAAGACCTGCCATCATAGATTCGAATCAATTATGGGAACACCTGGTTATCTCACAAACACTGTTGTGGTATCCACCCCATTGCAATGGGCTATTTAGAAGATTATTGGCAAAAATAATTGTCATGGGTCAAAACTCAGGGTCTTAACTTATTAAGTATACTTATCACTTAGGATTTAGTGTTAAGGGAGAAGACATACCTTCGCATGCCATTTGTATTCCAAAATCCTCCTCCTAACATGCTATTATCAAAGTAGACTTTAAAAATGCTTTCAATAGCAAATTTCGTGAATATTTATTGTTTTTATCCCAAATTTCCTGTTTATTTAAAATTCCTAGAGACATATAACATTAAAACTCCTTTATTCAGCCCACATATCATAGATTCTGACAAAAGGATCAGTAGGGGGAAAACGTCCTCGTTTATATTACCTTGGTATTCATTATCTCATCCATTATCTTAAATCTAAATTTGATTTGGATATAAATATTTGGTATCTTGATGATGGAACAATCTGTGATGCTCTTCCTAAAATAATTGATTTTCAATTTCTTGAAGCCAATTTTAAAAGACTCATTCTTATAAGTCAATCCGAAATCTGTTTCCATGATAACAATATACAAAACCCTCATCTAGCAAAATTAAATTTTTAATTGAGTACATAAATAATAAAATTAAAAAAAAAGGAAATTAATATAATTAAAAAAAACTATACAAAGTTGGATTAACCAAAAATGCATAGCTGTGATTCGAACCCAAAGCTCAGATTCGTAAGCGACGCTCTTGCCAATTAGGCCACAGACGCTTTTCAAAGTTGACGATTTTTAAAATATATATGATAAATTGTGACACTGTGACTATGACACCGCTTTTTTATATTTTATTATAGAATAGATATATGTTTATGATGTATAAGATGGTAATGTTAGATATTATTTTAATGGATGCTTTGATGAATGATTGTTTGATATGGTATGATGCTTAAAAATACTATTGGTTATTACGTTGTGAAAAATTTTAAAATATAAGAATACCTATTTAATAGTTTGAATTTTAAAATAGCAACAAACTATGTGAATATGTAACACTTAATTATTTTATCTTCTATTTAATTAATTTTGCCAGATTAAGTAAAAAAAATTTTTTACTAGGTTTGAACCCCATGTCCTTCACATTTGTGAGCGAGGCTCTTGCCGATTAGGCCAAAGACGCTTTTAAAAAATCGTAAATTTTTAAATATATATTATAAGTGACACTGAGAGTGACATTGTGACTGTGACACGGCTTTTATATATATTATAGATTTTTATTATAGATTATAGATGAATATTATTAGATGTTAATTTTTTATTATATAATTTATAAGTTTAAGTAAAAAACATTAAAATAATACATAAAGAGCCAAATCAATCAATATAATAATTTTTATACATTGTACAGGCAAGTTAAACGAAGTTTTTAAATAAGTGAGCAGGCAGGTGTACCAAAACTTTCTCATTGCAGACCTCTAATCAGGATGACATCGGAAACAACAGATCATAATGGATTTTACCTCTGCCAAAGAATCCATTTATAAATGATATGCGTCTGCCACTTTTATTTTCCCATGCATTTACCACTAGAGGTCTGCAAATGACTCAGGTCCAGTGGGAATTTAGTTAACATCTCAAAGGACGGAACCACGAAGTTGGATTAATAAAAAAAATAATCATTGTTGAGATTCGAACCTAAGTCCATCAAATCGACGCTCTTACCGATTAGACCATAAACACTTTTCAAAATTCACGATTTTTGTGATGTGACTCTGACACTGAGATTATGACGGCTTTTATATATATTATAGATATATCAGTTAGTTCTAGTATATATATATGATGATGTATAAGATGGTAATGATTTATGGTAATGGAAGATGAATGATTGATAATATATGATTCTATGGTGATTTATTGGACGAATATTTTTTAAAAGAATATTAGAAATTTAAAAATATAAGAATATCTATTTAATAGTTTGAATTTTAAAGTAGCTACAAATTTTGAATCGTATCTATTTGATTAATTTTGCCAGATTAAGAAAAAAAAATATTTTGCCATATTAAGAAAAAAAATTCTTTGCCGGGATTCAAACCTAAGTCCATTAGATAAACGACCCTCTTACCGATTGGGCCATATGCACTTTTCAAAATTAACGATTTTTTAAATATATATATTATAAATTGTGAAAGTGTGACTGTCACAGTTTGACTAGGTTTTTATATATATTTTAGATTTTAAATTTATTATAATTCAAGTTGGTGCAAAGTGTACACTTTTGAAACGGGAGGTTTGTGGTGATACTGGTAGATGGCAAAAATTTAATATTTTACTATATAGTCTCCTTAAATTTTAAATACATTAAGAACATACGAAAACGATCATGTTTTGATTATGGAGATTATTTATATTAGATACATAAAATTTTTCACCTCTGTTTCTTTTTTAAGATATTTCCTGTAATATAATTTATTTTTTTAAAACAGCGGATTTTATTTTTAAAAAACTTTCTATTCTAATAAATATTCTTTCAGCTGATTATTTTTCTTATCATAAAAAGGAGATTTATAATAATGAAACTTTGAAATGGGAATTCAATTGTCACCATGGTGCAGAAGAGTGCTTAGGAAATCTATGGCACGTGAGTATTGTATATATTCCATCTTTTCATAAAGGTTTAAAATAATATATATGTATAATTCAATTTGTGCAATCTATATACATTAGTTTAATTAGTTTTTCTTTATGTAGTATATATTATAATTATATAATATCTATGAATAAATTTCTTAAATAAATAAAAAGGGTGTCCTTATAAAATATTTATAAATTTTTCATAGACATGTGCGTTGTATGGAAATTTAGCTAAACAGGGAGACGCAGAGAATTTCATAGCCTGCACTTTTGGATATACAAAAAACTTGTCCGTTGGACTATCAGAGGTGAATCTTTTTCTTTTCTTTTCTTTTCTTTTCTTTTCTATCTTATTTAATAAATGAATGTATGAACAAAATAATAACATATTTTAATGGTTATTATCTACTAAAGGTTATATATGTATACACACATTTTTTTAAATATCGATTATTCCCGTCCTTACCTTTATATAATGCAATTTGAAACATTGATAAGGTTTATAACTTTTATAAATTGATATTAGTGCTCTCAATTGGCAAATTTTAACTTTAAAGAGCTATCTATCTGCGCGAACTCCATCGAAGCTACTCGTTTTTTGAGAAAAACAGGCGTTAAAACTAAAGAATTAGCTCCTGCAATTAATTACATACCATGGGTCTTGATAAACAATGTAAGAACAACTTTAATAATGAATTATACTATATAATACTGTATACCTTAAAATAAAGATCATCTAATTTAGACCTGTCTCTTCTTGAGTGATAGGTTTATGTAACGAAAGTTGTAAAGAAAAATAACGCGAGAGGTAAGGTGGAGGCTTTTAAACCTTTATTTTAGAACTCACATGTTTATTTCATATTTTTATATTATCTTTGATATTAATAAAAATGTAAAAAAATTTAATATTAAATAAAAATCCTATAAGAATTTTTGTAGAAAGTGTTGAATTGCATTAAATAATTTTATATTTAATTAATATTTAAGGCCGTATCTTGATCTAAACAAACTCTATTTAGCCATCTATATAGCTTCCTCATAGCCTTCTAAAAAGAAAGAGACTATTTAGATTTAAGAATGCCACTCATTTAATTTTCTAAATAGTACATATCTATATAGTAAATAAATATATTAATTAGAGATTGCAGAGGTACCATTTGTCAGGCCTGGGTTTTCAGATTTTTTAAAAATATATTATATTCGGTTTTAAAGTACATGGCCCGGCCCTGATATTTTTTAAAAAATTTTTTAGGCCGACCATAGTATATTTAAAAAAATACGAGGTCTCTTATATAAATATACAATATTTAGAAGCTTAAATTTAAATGCGTTCTGAACTGCAAATTTAAGAAACTGAGAGCTAGGTAGGCATTATAAAAATTTTTTAATTATAAATAAATATAACTTTAAAATATGCGAATACTAGAAATTACAAATAGTAAGCAGACAATAAAATTTTTAATGCATAGATTAGTAATATTCAATTTTTTTAAATGATATTTAGAAATACTTTAATTTTTGGGATATAATCATATAAAGATAATGAATGAAATATATTAATTATATTTTTAAAAATACAAAGTAATGAGTTGCTTTTGTAATATATCAACAAATGAAACTAATTATGTTAGTATTTACATTTTGTCAAAAGTAACTAGTTATAGTTATTTTTGCACAATTATATTTTCGGTATAAATAGCTATGGACCATGTTGGCTACAAAAAGTGGTTTTAATTTGCATATATTAAAAATTAATTAATTGTTAGTCTACTTATTATACCATATCAGCCCGGGTGGGGTATTGTAACACTTTTATATAAAAAAACAGTTATAAATGATTGAGCATGGCAATCAACTTTATTGTATTATATACTGTACTTACTTCTTATTATACTAATCATAACAAAATTTTAATTCTTTAAAAATATGCTATTTACTTTCCAATTTTAACTTTATTTAGATTTAAAACAAAAATTAAGAACAATTAGAACACATTCAAAAAAGATTCGACTATTATTAAGTTGTTTTTTTTAAAAAAAAAACCAGCTTATACACACTTAACACAAACCAAAATAGGGTGTCATTGTCATAGTTCAATATCTGAATAGCAGAAATAAGTTTCAAAAATACGACGAACCAAGAGATGGCCTAAATATTTATATAAACTTGCTTTAAAATGCATTTTTTTTAAATTTAAAAAAGTTAAAAGGATTTGTTTTTGCTTCTTAAAAATGTTTATATTTTACTTTTAATAAAATTTCATGAAACTTTCAGAAATAAAAAATCAAGTCAAATTATCTACAAATTATTTTATAATAGCAATTTTAAAATCATTGCTGTGTGAATAGACTCTACCCTAAAGAGTTAATAAAGAAAATAAGATGAGGAATATGTTATTTAACAATATTTTAGATTATTAAATAGTAATTATAAAAACATAAATAATAAATAGCAATATGATGTCGAAAGAAGAATGCAAGCCGAAAGTCGCCTTCAAGAGCTTGTGTGCGGAGTTATGGTTTATAATTTCTCGATTATTTTATATTTAAAGAATGAGTGACTCGGAATTAAAACAATTTTTTTTAAACCTAGTTAATTTCATGCTTTTTAAAATTTATTTATATCTCAACCTTTAATATGAAACATTTGAATAAATTTTTAATATGTTAAGACTTTAAAATTGGAAATGACTTTAGACAATAACTATTTTCTATGTTGTGTCCATTGAGGCAGGTGTCAGTATTTTAGGCCCGGCCCAGATTAAAAAAAAATTAATCATCCTGGATTTAAAATTTTTTTTATTTTCAAGCCCGGATTGGCCGGGATTAAATTTTTCGGCATGGCCCGGAATTTATGTATAATTTTGGCTCTTCTTTGCAAATTGTTTTAATAGGAAATTGAAAATATGAGCAATAAATCAATATATAATACTCTGCTATATGATTTTTCAACTTTGATATAATTTTTTTAAAAAAATTTAATTGGCTTGGCCCAGATTTTAAAGGTACGTTATTAATTTTTTTTATATTTTTAAGCCCAGCTCGTATTTTATAAATTATACAATTTTTGGCCCATCTTGGTCCAGGCTCTGGACCGACCTGACCTAGGTCTCTGTTTTTGCTTATATTAAACACCATGCTTGCTTTAAATCATCAAAATAAACTGGTTAAGAACGTAAGAGCAACTTCAATTCTAAATATATAAATTTCTTTAGACAATTGCATAATGGTCACTTTTAGATTATTATATAAATTATCGATATCTTCTATAAATTCACCAAGAATAAATCCCAATCTTTATGAATTATTATTCTAAGCCTCGATTATCTTACAATATCATTTTTATATTATATTCAATACAGAACTCTCAATTCTCCTTCTGTGGACAAGTATGAAGATTTTTTCTCCATGAACAAGGCAACTGCATCATTTTTTATCCCAATTCTCTTATAAAATATATTTATTTAAATATAGAAAATCGTTATCGATAACTTTTTTTAAAAAATAAATAAATTTGTTGAATATTTTATTATCCCATCTCCTCATTCAGTATGAGAATCTATTCTAATATAATGTTGCAAGTAAACAAAGTATGCTGTAGCACTTATCGCTCAAAAACTTATAATTAAAAAATTAAACACTGTATAGTACTCGCTTATTTTAATAGTAATATCTAGTTATGTATCGATATTTTTTATAGGATCGGGCCGATTTTTCATCTCTTTTAAAATGTCAGTTGTCGGCCGATATTGTAAAATTATCCGATCCCATAAAATGGCGTATTCATTTTAAAAAAATTTATTTCAAATTTATAATATAATTTTTATATTATTTATGTAAATAAATTAATAATTTTATATACTTTTAGATTCATTAATATAAACTATAACTGATCATTATAATATATTTAAATGATGTTATGGTATAGTTAAATAATAGATGTTATACCAATATGAGATGAGTAGATGTATGTAGTAATGCAAAATCGCTCCTTTTGAGCTGATTTATAAAAACGGCTGACTTAATATTGTAGCCAGTAAATATTGCCTAAGTCTCAAGATTTGGTTAATGAATGTCCAAACCTCAGTGTTACCCATAACTATAATTTTCTGGCATGTGCAATATTTTTCTGGTTAAAATACGTAGTTAACCGTTTTTAAAAATTGACTCAAATGTAGCCATTTTGCAACACTAGATATATGTATTAAAAATTAAAACGAGTAGTATATTTATCGGATAGATAATTGACCGATATCAATATAATTTTGGGATCCCAAAACATGGTATTGGTACACGCAATTGACATTCGACTATCCTATATTAGTCGATGTCTTTGGAAATATTAAATTATTGAAATTATACAGAAGGATTCAAGTTTACATATACTAGTGCCGTTTAATGTTATCCAATAAATTATAACCTATCTATTGCGTAATTATAAGGCTCAATCCCAATATGTGTAATATATTACTATGCTACTGTATACTACATCTATTGAGAATTAGACTCTAGTAATCCATTTTATTGAGTTATTATTCGTTTATTAGGATTCTAGAGGAATGTGTAATACATGTCTTTCAATTATTAATAGATATAGAGATTGAGTAAAGAAATGTATGAACAAAGGTGAATTCAATAGCCCATCATTGCAGGGACTGGTTATGAATATTTTTCGAAATGTGGGGGTGCCTCAAGATTCTCAAAATTATTGTGAGGGGCCATGAAGTTTTAGTTTTTTGTTGTGCATTTTTTGATAAACCATAAGATTTTATATATATTCAATTATTTGAATAGATTATTTTTTCTGTTGATTTATCACGACAATCGATATCATAATAAACAAATATTAAATATATAGAAATCAATCAAGCAATTAAATCGGTATTGTAAACTATTTTAGGTGATAGATATTTTATTATTATAATAAAGATAAATTAATTCATTCAAAGCCAGTTTTATTCTATTCTTCCTATAAAATCATTTACTATTTCTTATTTCTACTCTTCTAAAATTAATTTCCATCGCCTTAGGGTTATTAGAGACCGTAAAGACCGGCTATATGTGGAACCTAAATGATGGATTAACCTTTAATATTAGTTAAGATGAGTTTGCTCTACATATATTATATACGGATACGGAAGACTGAAGTTAGTTAGTGAGCCTGCACTTTTCGAATACCTAAAACTTCTAAAATAGTTATTTTTTTACTACAAGGTTTACAAAGAGAAAAGTCCAGATCAAAAAAACTAAAAACTTAATTAGAAAAGTAAAAGAAGTGACAATTAAAAAAAAAGGTCCAATCTAAATATGAAGGGGCCCGAACAAAAATATAAAATTACCCAAGAAAATGATAAAAATATTATTAAAAAAGCGAAATTTCCTTTCAAAATAGAAAAATCGTATTTATTATATTTATCAAAATTATTTGTCTTTTTAAAATTATAAATGTTATATTTTTTATAATTTTTCTTTAATTTTTGGTTATTTTTAATTTTCCTTATAAATTTTTCCACCTTTTTCGATCTTTAATAATTTTATTATTTTTATCCTATTTTATCATATTTTCTTAATTTTTTTTCTTCCCATTTTCTTTATTACTTTTATTTTAATTGCGATTGCGGGAAATAAATTAATCTTTTAGTAATAAAATTCCATTCTAAAATTAAATAAATCTTAACTACAATACCAAACAATATAAGTGAATTATTTTATAATCCAGTCTTTTATAGTAAAAACAATTGGTATCTTTATTTTAAATTCTTTTTGTATTTTATAATTATGTAATTTAACTTCTAATATTATGCAATTAAATTAACCTCGACAAATATAATAGGAAAGTTATAAAATTGTATGACAAATATAATATTCAAATAGCGTTGAATATAACCTTTTAAAAGATATAAGATATTAAAATATAAAAGCGTCATACTTTATCGAAACCTGTTAAGGATAAGGCCCATAGCAGTTGGATCCTTTTTTTGTAGATTAGCCGCCAAGTTAATAATGAACAGTATTAAAATTCAAGGCGTAGATTACCTTGACAATTATCAATTTGGCTTTGGGGTTAAAGGGAGTAGCGAGGCTTTTGCCCATTCCCATCAGATTTATATTGGTAATACTCCTCCTAATTCAGTTTTGTAAGTTGATTTTAAAAATGCTTTTATCGAAATTCTTTGAAAGATATCCTGACTATTCCCATTATATAAATACCTGTTATGGTCTGAATTCATTCTTAGTTTTGGGGGAAAAGATTTGGAATTCCAAGGAAGGTATTTAACAAGGAAATCCTTTAGACCTTATCCTCTTTTTCTTAGTTATTTATGACAACGTTTTTAAAATGAAGTGTAAATTCAATCTTGACTTCAACCTTTGGTACATGGACAACGAAACCCTATCTGGTCGAGAGGTTAATTTATTAGTCATTCATTTCTTAATTAATGAATCCAAAACTATAGGTCTTGTTTCAAATATTGATTAAACAGAAATTAGTTTTTTAAATGGATCCCTTTCAGAAGGTTTTAATTGTTTTAAACTTATTGACAGGGAGTGTTAAATAGTGCTCGATAAGAGAAAGCCTAGAGAAAGCAACTCTTTGCTTAACTAAAATCAATTATATTTAATATGGAAATCGCTATGGTTCCCAAAATTTTACATCTTTTTAGGACTTTATCTTCATTTTAAACCTTTCCTTCCTTTTAGCAAATACTTGTGGGTCAAAATTGAGGTCATGAATGACTTGAAGCTGTCTCTTGTGCCAATCTCAATCTATTAATATTCTACGGGGAACTAAGGATGATCATAGGATATAGACTTTGTTGTGACATATGTCTTACCCATATATATAAGAGATGAAAACGCCTATCGTAAGGGTCGACACGGTTCAGTCGACATAGAACTATTAACTCTATAAATAAATTAGGGTTGACCAACTTCCATAACCTTCTAGAACCCATCCACTTATCTTTGTCTGCCGGAATAGACCAGATGGGCTCACAAAAATTCTATGGTTTAGAGAAAAACACCTTATTTGGGATTTCACTTGTGTTTCCCAATTTTCCTCCAACCCAAACATTGATCCGATTATTCAAAAATTAGAAAGTGCTACGATTTTTTCTGATTTTCACTTTACCCCAATAGTTATTTCCACCAATGGGTACCTAGGCTCCTAGGGTATTATTTATATAAGATTTTTGGTAAAAAAAATTTCTCAAATTAATGGTGATCATGGATCCTATTTTAAAATGTTACAATCAAGAAATAGCTGTGTGTTGAGATAAATATCTTAGTTTCCTTGGATCTCAATGAGGGCCCTTTTTTTGCCCCTCCCCCATGTATTTTTTTTAAAAAAAACTTTATTTGTATTGTTTACTTAATTATTTTTCTTTAAATCCATTTTAATTCTTTATTAAATGTTATTTTATTTACATATCATGTTTTTTAATTTAAATATAGAAAATTGAATTTTTTTTAAAAAAAAAAGATTAATTTTGCAAAAATATATTCAAATTCGTATTGTATTAGTAAATAAACTAAAATGAAAATAAATATAAAATATATTTTTGAATTAATAAAACAAAACATTTTTTATGAAAGATTAGGATATGTAAAGATTTTGTCACATATCTGTATTATTAAATCTTTGTTTAAGTTTGATGGAGTCAACAAGTGGATGTAAAATAAAATCCCAAGTTAGTAAATTGAAATCTTTTCAAGGTAAACTACTGACTTCATCTGGCTATTTTTGAGATACAAACTGCTAGATTACGTTGAGGGAAGAATCCAACAGAATTTAAAGCAGATTTTTTACCCGAGTTGCATAGATTCTGCTAGAAGGCTCATCTGATACTTATGATTCTGATGCTTTGAAATTAATGTATGCCAGAATCGGCCTGTTTTGGACATCTAGTACATTTAGAATTAACGTTTAAACGAATAGCCAAAGCTAAAATAAATTCCTGGTCATTGAGTGTTAAGGTTTTTAGGTGGGATTGCCTCTAAAAATTTATGTCCTGAACTATTGTTCAAAGTAGCAAAGAAAAAATAGTTGATGGACAGATTGGTGATTCATCTCATCTAGACTTGGGAATAGTGATATTATTGGTGCTCATGCCTTTTCTTCACACCATTTTTGATGGGTTTTTGGTACAACTCAAATCTTTCTGATAATCCTTTTCATTTCAAAAGCAGAAGGACTGGGATGAGTTAATGATTTCTGGTACTGTAAATCGATAATGCAATTGGAGATGGAATTCAATTCCAATTCCTCGATTGAAAGTTGGAAATGGAAATGTATTTTGAGACTACGAGAGGTCATTAAAACAAAGATTGCCAATTTTTTCCATTATTTTTAACCACTATGTTTTGATGGTAAATTTGAAGATAGCAGTGGATCTTGGGGCTTAATTTTTTTGAGGATATTGATTTTAGTGGTTATT